GCAGCAAGTCAGCTCCATCCTCCCCTCCCAGCCTGCGCTCCTCTCCCGGTGCTGCCTCCCACATGTCAGCGACATCCCAGTGGGTGGGTCGACAGCCCCTTGCTGTCACTCCATCGATTCCCTAAACGCCCGAAGGGTGGCTGCCTGAACTAGCATGTTCTGCAGCCTCAGTTTAGTTGAGACAGCAATGGGTCAGAAGTCACCAGCACCTAGACTAATTCCCCCATAGGATTGGTTTATGCCCAAAGCACACCCATCGCTGGCCTGACTACCCTGGGTCAGCGGTGTCTGGTAACTTCTACACGGAACGGATCCCAAACCCAACCTGGGTGACCTTCTGCAAGTGCCTTAGTGTCGCCGTTCCTTGGATTCCCGTCTGTAAAATGGGTCTGTCGGCCTCGACAGCCCGTGCCCTTACCCACGATGATGACCTGACTTCCCCAGAGATAGAAAACTCCCAATTAATCAACGATTGCTCACACCCTAGGCCCTGCGAGCCAAACCATTCTAGGAACAGTCTTGGAGCCTGGAACCGCGGAGTGGAGAACCCAGGGCGCCTGGGTACAAGTCTGCGCCCCTCCACGCCACTTCTCCCGGCTCGAGCACTGAGGGTGGTGGCCGCCCAGCGCGAGCGTGCAGGGACCCGGCGCGCAACAGGGGCCCGCTCCCCGCACTGTCCGGCCTCCCGGGCCGCCCGGCCTCGCCCGGGCCCGGTATTCAAGGTCCCTCTGGGCAAGGAGCCCCCGATGCACAGGATTCTGCGGAAGGGGGCAGGACACGCCCCGTGGGAGGCCCCCCGGGTGGGGAAGAACCCCTCAGGCCCTTCTCGGCCTCCGTACCTGACCGGAGCCGCCTCCTCCGGCCGCCACCACGGCGCTGCCGGCCCCGTCCGTCTCCTGCGCCGCCGCCATCTTCCCGCTCCGGGTCCCCGCCCCCGCCGCCAGCCCCGCCCCGTCCCCGACGGCGCCAGCGTGATCGCGCGAGATTTCACACTTGCCCCGACGCGCCGGCCACCGTACCGGCAAGAGCGCCTCAGCCACGCCTCTCGGGGGAGGTGCTTCCGGCTATGAAAGAGCCAACCCGGCCACCGTAGTCCTCCTCCCTTCCGCAGCTTGCTTGTTTTTGTCTGCTAGAGACGCTGCCTGCTCTGAACTCCCAGGACTTTCTCGGCCAACATATGCGCTTCCTACAGACTCCAGTCCTTCTGTCCGCTCGAATAAGCCCGCCTTATTCAGTTGTATGAGCCGTCTAGGCCGTCTTATTCTCTTTGTCCTGCGGAGTCTTTGAGTCCTTTCCGGTCCATGTTTCTTGAGCTTTCCCGGCCACCGTAACGCTTCGAAACGCTGGTTTAAGCCACGCCCCTCTTGGGTTAAAGGAACCTTCCTGGCCACCGTACCCAGATTCGGAGAGCAGGGCTTTTGGTCAACAGTCTCGGCGTGTGACCCTTGTTCCTGAAGTACCCATTTCTCCTGACCAGTCCATGTAGGTGTTAGTCTTTCTGTGCCTTCAGAATTACTATTTCAGGGTTCTCCCGGCCTCCACACCTCCAAATTGCACTCTGTGAGCGCCTCCCCAAGCCTTCGGGCCGCCTAGTTTAGCGCGCATGCGCGTTCCGCCAGTGGTCTGCTTTCTAGCAAACCTCGCCGCTTTGGACTCGGCTTCGAGCGCTCTAGGAACTCTATCCTTGTTTGTAGCTGTGTGTCTTTCTACAGCTCCCAGCCTGGACACGTGCTGAGAGACCTCTGGCCTGAGGAGGGTGTTATGATCCCGGACAAGTGACGTCTCTCTCTGAGCCGCAGTTTCTTCCTCTTTTATAAAGTAGGCGTTATCACAGAACCCGCTATTCCTCTTCCCCTTTTGCCCCGCCGGGTTTTGGGGAAGACCCAGTGAGATCACGAGTATAAAGCACGTGTCCCCCCGCCTCACGCTTGGTAAGGAATCAATATCGTGCGCCATTATTATGAACTTTTCACAATCCCTGGAAGGGTGAGCAGGTTTTGCATTGGGATATTCTAATTATTTATTATTTTAGTATTTGCTTCCACTTTCCTCTAGGTCTCAGCTCAGTAGTACTATGGTCTCTTCCAGGAAACCTTCCCTGGCCTCCCAGGCTGGGCAGGGCACCGCCTCCCAGTCCTTCTAGTTCCCTGGACTCTGCCGCCCCATCCCTGCCCACTTTGTGTCGTCACTGTCAGTGTTGGGTGTGGTGTGTCCTGCCCTGGGCGGTCATGGTCACTGCTGTGTCTCCAGCACTGCCCACGGGAGGATTGCTGGGTGAAAGGATGAAACTCTCTGAGTGCAGCAAGTGAAAGACTGACTTCTGAGGACCGACACAAGGGCAAGAAGGAACCTTAGAAAACTCGCCCAGTTCCCTTCTGTTACAGATAATAATGGTAGTGATAACGATTCTGTGAAACTGTAAGCTCAAACTTTAGGTCTAGGAATGAAATGAACATACTGATTAAGTCCCCCAGCCGGGGGTCAGATTGAGATTTTGTGGGCCTCTTTTTAAAAAGTACGGGATTACACGTACAAATTTAAATAGAAGACCACAGAAGGGCCGCCCGGTGGCGCAAGCGGTTAAGTGCGCGCGCTCTGCTGTGGCGGGGCAGCCCAGGGTTCGCCGGTTCAGATCCTGGGCGCCCACCAACCACCCGCTTGGCAAGCCATGCTGTGGTGGCGTCCCATATAAAGTAGAGGAAGATGTGCATGGATGTTAGCCCAGGGCTGGTCTTCCTCAGCAAAAAAAAATAAATAAATAAAATCAGCATTCCTTTAAAACAATAAAAAATAAATAAATAGAGGACCACAGAAAGCCCAGGCAAGTGCCGGGCTTTGAAGCTTGATCTTCTCCAGCCTCACAGTAACCCCACCTATGCTCTCAGCTTTCGATACGAAACGCTCCAATCTGTCCTCTTCCTCCGGTATACAGCAGAGTCCATCTGTTGGAGCATGAGAGGCTCTCAGATGGACTGTGACCTTAGACCGGGCCTCTGCAAAGCCCTCCCCCGTGTCTGTTGATTGACCAAATAAATTCTTCCATTCCTACTCACTGGTAAGTGAATCACAGGCCAGACCCTCTCTGCCCTCCACTAGGGGACACCCAAACACTGACCAGAGGCTGTGATTTCAGGTTCTAAGGGAGATGGGGGTTGGGGACCTGAACTTCTGGGTCCTGAGGAGAAGGAATTGGAGGTCCAGACTCCTGAGTCTGAGGGAGGAGAAGTCTGGGGTCCCAGGCTCCTGCGTTCTGGGGGAAGAGTCAGCCGCGGGCTTGGACTTGGGGTGTGGAGGAAAGTGGGCCTGGGCTGGGGGCTTGAGAAAGGAAGGAGGAGTCTGGGAAGAGCCCTGGGATTGGTTGGAAGCAGAACCGGCCTGGGCAGTGGTTTAGTTTGGCCTGAGTCCGTGGGAAACAAGTGGATAGAGCAGGGATTGTTCCTCCAGTGTCCACCCCCCCGCATCACCCCCTGGGTTTGGCAGCCTCGGCTCTTCCCAGGCCCTGGAGACTTGGGGGCATTTCCCACAACCACTCCCCATGGGCTCTGTTTTCTGCTAGACTCTCAGCTGCCCAGCCCCGGGACCTGGGAAAACTGCCCCAAGAGTGCTGAAAGGCTGGCTGGAGGTTAATGCCGAGCACATTAGGAGAAATAGAGGCTCTGAATCCTCTGGGGCTGGCAGCCCTCCTCCTGGGACTTCGGGGCCCGGGATCACCCTCTGCTCCCTCAGGTTCTAGGAGTCCAGGCCCCAGCCCTGTCCTCTCTCAGACCACAGAGCCTCTGCTCTTATTTGCACACTCTGCTTTTTGCTTGCAATCCCCACTGCCCGGATACCGTCTTGCAACCAATAACCAACCCCCAGACCTGGGGGCCAAGTGAGTGTCCCCTCCCCACCCCCCACTCTCCAAGCCCTAACACACTGCATTGTGATGTATCCCCCGTGACCAGCCCAGCCAGGTCCTCTAGAGGGCCCTCCCGGCGCAGAAACTCAGGACCTATCCGAGGTGGCCGCACCCAGGCCTCCACCTCCTCACTTCCTCTCGTCTTCGTTTGCCCGATTGCTGTTGGAAGTTGCCTTCTCCATTGGTTGTCTTGCTCATCTCTGCCTCCCCCCTCCCCCCAGCCTCTCTGTGTGTGGCCTCAGGATGGAGCAGAGCTCCTGGCCCTGAGTAGGAGCAGGAAATGTTATTTCTGTTGCTAACGAGAGCACAGCTCACAAAACATACCACAAAGTTGTAATCACTAAAACTGTCTGGAATTGGGCCAGGACCCGATCAGTAGCTTTTTGAGGGGCCACATGAAGGCAGGACTGTCTGTCTGTTCCCTGCTGTGTCCCCAGGGCCTGGTAGGGTCTCAGTAAATACATGTGGGACAAATGTATGGGGATTTTCCCGGAGCACGGCTTTTGCAGGTCTGTACTCTTGGGTCCTAGCCAACCTGTGCGTTTACTTCCTACACTCAGCAGCGACTTGTGGGCATCAGTCTCCCCTCTGTCACAGGACCGTTGGAGACCTCACGGCGATGGCACATTTAAAGTGTCAGCCCAGGGCCTGGGCACTGCCTGAGGTCACCATAGGTTAGCTGTGTCCATGGTTTGTCATTTTACAGATAAGAAAGCCGGACCTCTGTGAAGGGCGGTCTCTAATTATTGTTATGATTATTCATTGTTATTATCATTATATTATATTATTATGTATAATATATATATAGATATATAATATGAATATATTATTCACCTCTTTATTCCCACTGACCAGGTTAGGGCTGCATACCTATAGTAGGTGCTCAATAAATGTTGGCTAGACTGAATCAGTCCCTCCATCTTGGCCCCTGAGGTCTCAGAAAAGCAACCACATGGAAGAGGATAAACTTGGCATTTTTTCATTGATAAGTCAGGCTACACTTGGCAGTAGGATGCTGAGAGCTGCTAGGAAGACGGGGTGGGTCAGGGGAGCCAAGGGGTTGCTGGGGTCTGGACTCGCCCCTGCCCCACGACCAGGGGCCCAGCTGTCACTGGTCTCCCTTCAGCAGAGAGAGGAGCTGGTCAGTAAGAATCTCTGTGTAAGTGCTCACGGCTGCCGTGCTTTTGCTGTACATGTCCCTGGGGAGAAAGAACACAGGATCTGAGGAGGAGGGGCTGGGGGATGGACCCCTGGGGCTGAGGGAGGAGGGGCTGGGGCCTGGACTCCCGGGGCTGAGGGAGGAGGGGCTGGGGCCTGGACTCCCGGGGCTGAGGGAGGAGGGGCTG